CTTGAAAATTGGATTTCATCACATTTACAAGCGTTATGAAGACGTTATAAGTCTTCGAAACACTGCAAACGTAAGACCAACACAACCATACTTGTTTTATAGATCTCACATATGTGTGATATTCCTTTTATGTTTTAATCTTATATTTTATACATTTTATGCACATATTGTCTAGTGTGACACATTGGCCATCTGGCCTGGTGTTTGTATATTCTATGTTTTTTACCACTGCCTTTTTAATTGAAATGTACATTCACGTGACACAAAAATAAAGTATTTTGTCTGTCTGTCTGTCTGTCATATTATCGGTATTAAATGCATGCATCAAATGCATCACCATGTTTGCTTTAATATTAGCCATCGTCAAATGTGGGGGAATACATTGTTTTCTCCGTCAGCCTATATCTTACAAATATTGTACAGTTCGTGTATTTATCAAATAGGATATGCCCACATATATCCAACAATATATTGTGTTATATATACATATATCATAAATATATCCTGCTGAATATCTCTGTCTATCTGTCTCTATCTCTCTGTCTCCCTCCCACGCGCGCGCGCGCGCACACACACACACACACACACACACACACACACACATTTATCATCACCATGCATCCATCCACCATCACCCATTTCCATCATGTACCAAGTAAGGACATTACTAACATTCCAATGTTGTGTTTATAATATTACATTCAAATGCTATATCACTACAGATAAACATAATGAACAAAACAACTTGATTTTTAATGGTAATTGCATTTCCTCTGTGTAAGTGATCTACTAATCAGAGGGACATTTCATCCAAGAAATCCTTCCTTAGGTGTTAACAGTACCTGGCGGTGATATATTTGTCTGTTAGCTACTAAAAGGAATGTTCCAGGCATTGAAGGCAAAGAGGATTTTCTTTTAAAGACATGCTTCCCTCTTTAAAACAAAAACCTAATTGCATCGTTAATTGTTAATCATAGGGGCATTACAACGAGTATACCACGGAGTTAATTACAGACCCATCACCGTGTCTGTTATACCATTTGACACTCAAACATTATTGACCATATGACACGCAAACTTAACGGCATTTGATACTTAAACAAATTTGAACGTTTGACCACTCGACACAAATACGACGTACAAACTATTTGAACGTTTGACCAGTCAACATAACTGATGATTTGTAGAAAACAGTACTGGTGTCTGATCCGATCAACATTTTATGAAGCCACTGACTTTAGTTGAACATCGCCTTTAAAACCATAACTGAACTTTTGACGCTCAAACATTCGGCACCCAGCATAACAGATATCACGCATCATTTGGTACCCAAATAATCTTTTAACACCCAACATAACATATCTTATCAGTACATTATTTCCAGCAATGCTTTGGGTGAGTGAGTGAGTGAATGTATATTTGACGCCGCTTATAACAGGTATTTCAGGAATCACAGAGTGTCAGTTTTAGACAGGAGGAAAGCAAGAAATGGGAAGGTTCCTGATATCTCTACCACCTTATTGACATCAAAGTACCCATTCCTTAAACGTGAGTCCAACAGCTCTTTTAACTAGCAGCTTATAAAAATATGATTAACTGATAAGCCAAGATTAATCAAAATTGCAATATCTCCGGCCTTATACTTAAAACACATATCGAATGTGTATCAATAGCTCAGTTTGCAGAAATCAAACTTTCTGCTACAGTTTGGCAGACCGTTCACCACAGATACGCCAACACGAAGATTGAACTTATTACATACAAGTCCATTTCAGGCTTACATGTTTTAATGTTGTAACGGGCTGGACACCTCGCTGTCCCCTTACAGTGCCGTACTATATAGAATGTGGGCTGTTTGCCTTGAGCCTTAACACCATAGTGTTAGAAGCGCTAATTTCCCAGCCGGGTCCATATGGACGCTTCATTTCCACAGACCACATGTGTCGGCCAACCAAACTCTTGTTACACAGACAAGATGCACAGAATTAATTTCCCTCTCATTCCCATCAGTGTAGTCTGCCCCGCGCTGTAATAGGATGGAAGGCCAGGGCTGGCCAGATCGAACTGTGCGGTGCCACTTCCAATATAACATGTCCTTGTTAGACAGCCTGCGCGTTGACTTTGGCGCTTTATTTTCATTTCTTTATTGGTTTGCAGTTCTAATTAAATGGAAATTCTGCGGAATTGTCATTCTAATCCCTAAATATTGTGTAGAAAACTACTGCACCTAAAATCAAATTGTCAAAATCGTTCCTGAATAAGATTTCGTTACGATGGTGAGGGTTTAAGAGTAAACGACACTCGTCGCGTCTTCCACTTTCCCATTAGTGTCGGATAGGTAATGGTTTAACTATTGTCTTAGAATTTGTAGGACAGATATTCCCTGACTAATCTTGGCTTATACTCCAGCCTGACCTGCACCAGTTCCTTTCATTCAAAGCGTTAACGAAATATGCACAACATGACGAGTTAAAATGTGGTCAATCGAGGCACATACTTTCCGTCAGAAATATCATTCATTTTGGCGTAAATGAAAAGTAAAAGGTTTTGAGGGACAGTGTGGAAGTTCTTTCTGCCATTCTTGTGCCTTGATAGACTTATAATGACCCATGGTGTCTCAGATTTCAACGCGGGTTGAATAGAAGAGACAATGCGTTTACCAGCTACTGACCATCGCATAGCTCCCTAACTCACAACAGAGGAAGAAACGATCTGCTTTTTAACCTTTTTTTCTTAAGTTTACAGACCATGCATGTTGGATGTGTACAAAAGATTATCACGTTGATCTGAAACATTTGTTTTAGCGCTTGTTTGCCTACATGTTATCCATTTACAAGCAATTTTAAAGGAAAAAACACTGAATTGCATTCGCCGGTTGGGTTAATGTTTACATCAGAATGTTCTCGCTCCGAGTGTTGGGGCTGATGGAGAAACAACCACACACTCATACAGAGCCGGCGATAGTATGCAGGGGTGTATATGTGTGGTGGGGGTGGGGGTTATATTGAATGTATTGTGTGCAATTTATTTAGGGTTTATAATATTTCATGTCTCTGTTCACACATACATAGGTTACTGAACCGTTACTTTCGAAACGTGTAATTAAAGTATTTATTTCCTCATTGTGTTTCACTGCAGTAATTTCCAGTGCATGGTGGCACACTTTCCTTGTTCATCGACAAATAGTAAAATTATTTATTTTTTCCTGAGCGTGACACCGTCACTGCCACTGATGTTGTTTCAGTGTTCCATATTCTCAAACATGTACACTAACGCTTCAACGAACACTGCAGATCAAGCACTCATAGCTAGGATCAGTCACACCGAACACTTCACAGATATACACGTGAACGAATTATCCCATTCTAGAGATACGTTGCAAAATCATAAATATAATCAACGCATTTCTTTATCTAGCCTTTAAAAGAACAATCAATTTATTGTTTTCCTTTCTTAATATGAGTGAAAATAGATTTAAGAATTTTTATGAATAAATGAAGTGTGGTTAATGTGAAGATATCTGTCCAGTGAGTGAGTGAGTTAATATTTAACGTCACATCAGCAATATCTCAGCCATATCGTGACGAAAACAAATTTAGATATCCGTCCAGGACACCTGAGATATGGCAGAGCAGAGACTCGCTGGGTGGGATGTGTTGGGTGCGGATAGGGGGGGGGGATAAAGCAGGGGGGACTAAGGAAAGGTGGCCCAATTTACAATATGGTATTGCAAGAAAGTAAGCAACAATTCCTATGTGGTACTAACTAGATGCAGTTGTTGGGAGCGACGTGAGTCCCGGGGGTGTTGTAGATGCGGTTATTGAGGGTCAGGGTGATGGGCAGTGTCCCCCGGGGATAGTCTGACATGTTTCTAACACCCTAAATCTCCTCGCCTACTGAAGTAATTATCGACATTACGTAAACATGACCCCTTACTGGGATAGTAAACTGACCCTCATGGTATACACACTCGGAATCATAGCATCCCTCGTGGAGCATGCCTTGACAGAGCATGGATACGGTACACTAGAATTTGAATTAAATGAAACTTTCATTTAAAAAACAATTGTAAACATGATTTTTTAAATTGACAAGTTTAATAATTAAAGCAGAAAGCATACTTTTCCCGATGTGTTTTGAATAGTTCACAGTCGAAATGTCGCTTTTTACCACAAATATATATTTGAAAAATTATGATAATAAATCAGCATGATATGCATATTAAACCTATCTAATAAAGTCGGTTGTCAAACGAAGCGTGACATACGTACCCGGTCACGCTTTGACATGTGACATCTCACTGTTAAAATGGATGAAACCAGTAAGTAAAAAGTTGAATGAAAGTCACCCTACAAATTAAATTACACATTTCACAAGCTGACATCAAGTCAAATTAAAAACATCTCCATATTCCTACAATCCAAAATCTTTCAAAAGTATTTTAAATTACAGAATTTAAAACAGCTACCTCACATCTTCCACCAGTGCACTGGCTGTTCTCAAGCAGACGAACTGTCATGGCGTCCCGGCCGGGCGGCGAATACAGTCTATTTTCCTACCTAATCTCCATAAGTCGGCATGGGGAATTCCGTTGATGAAAACATACTTATAACTACATATCATTTTCTGTCGGAGCACATTTTTTGCATTTATGATCAATAAAAGACAGTTATAACAAATTGAGAAAATACACCGGCACATGGCGTCGGTACCTGCCAGCCTCTCCCACTAAACATTGACTATTGTCTCAGAAAACAGAGACGGGCGAACCTATATTCAAATGATTGTTAGATACTTACAGAGTGTATGTAAGTCAGGCCCGAGCGATGGGAGTGATTCTAAAAGCACGGCTCATCCTGTCGACGTTTTATTCCCTCCCAGAAATACACTGTGGTCAAGCAAGGCATTCTTATTATGTTCCTTTGAATTTGAAAAATTGCCATGAAATGGTCTAAAACGTTGTATTGATATTCCAATTATTTTCTTTCTATACAAGGTGATACTATGCTGGGTCCTTGTCACTGCGCCGGCGTTCGTCAGCGAGGGCCATTTGTGCGTCACGTGTCACAGGTAAAGACAGGTAAAGAAATGTACAATTATCTCGAATAAAAAAAATATGAAATCAGTCGGTCCTTCACCTGCTAGCAACCTTCAAAACGTGAAGACCGTTTTGATCAATTTGTAAGTGTCCTTCACCGAGTAAGACAAATATACTAGCCCTCTGCCCGGGGCTAACTTTGTTGACAAAGGACACATTGATTGCTTCAAAGCAATGTAATTTTCTCGCTAAATCGGCACAAGGGCTCGCATCACAAGCCCTATAGGACTATTATACGAAAACTTGAAGAATAAAACCTTAAAATGTGCTCCATCTGTTCAAGAGAAGTGAAAAAATCGCTCAAGGGGCGCTACCGTCGTTTTCAGGTTTAACATGAATTCTTTCAGTTGTTGAGATCTCGAACCTTGCTTATTATGAGAATTCGCACGTGGGGATTTCCTGTCCGTGCTTTGGAAAATTAAATTCGATAGAAAGTGGAAATGATATTGAAGTATAGGACAGAGAACAAATATGAAAAAATATAAAGGTAAACACACTATCTGTGATATAAAATTTGATATGTACAAGAAATAATAGATTCGGTTTTAGACTTTATTTTTTATTGTTGATAAAAATCTTAATAAAAAACAGAGGAAAAGAAAACCTGCGAAATATTCACCGCTAAGCATTGCAGGAACATTTCTAGGAGTCGTATTTGGGAAATTTTTATACGGGGCAAATGCGAAAGTAATTCAAGCTTATTCCCCGGTCCAATAATACTAACCATCTGTGAGCCAAGCCCCGTTAGGGAACAATGCCACGACGGAGGCATTCTACTCTTTGGGAATTAAAAGCCGAGGGACACATAGCGAAGGCTCTTGTTTCAGCCCTGCTCTCAAACCTTGAAAACTTGGTGTTGAAAGGAGGGCGGGAACGAAAAACACAGAGACAAACAATATAGCTATGACGAAATATTATGACGATGTTAGAACGTCTGTGTCGGGTAGTTTCTGTCGTGTGTCTAACTTCTATTGAGTGAGGTAGAGAGTTGGGGAAATATCATTCTCCATTCAGTATAATCGTTTTATATACAAATCATCTCAAGTGCCCTCTTGAAGGCCCATCTGAAATGAAAACATTTGGTAGGGTCAGGGAGAGGTTTATACACAGACGCAGCAACCGAGACGGCGATTGTACAGAAACTGTGCTTCCCTCTCCCTTCTCGACTGTCACTCGGCTTGTTGAAATCAGCAATTAATTTCCATGCTCATCAGTCCGTGTTATGACATGCCGTCTTGATTGCGCCTGGCCCGGTGTGTGGCCACTTCCTCGCTCAACAGCTGATCCACGCGGCCTGATTGGTCGGGGGCGGGGCTAGAGGCGGGGCGTGGAACCATATATGGCGCTGTTGGCAGATATCATACACAGTGTTGTATATGTTGTCGAATGGTGCAGACCCGAAGCTTCAGTCTCAGCAGAACTCATAGTAACCGCTAAACGTACACTACTCGACGGTGCTACAAGAATACTGCACTGTGGCTGTGTGTATATTTCCTAGTTTACCGCTGGAGCGGGGGGACATGCAACCTAGCGGCCTACAAGCGCCCTACCCTGCCTCCGCCATGCCGAGTATCTCAAACGGGCCAGGACTAGGCATGGTTCCCACCCTGTTCGGCGACCACCAGAACTATTACCGTCATGCAGGAGGATACACAGGGATGTCCATGGGCGGTATGTCAATGTACGGACATGACCAGTATTCCACGATGCCACGACCGTCACCGTACTCGCCGTACACCCCACAACACCACGCATCCAAGGATATGGTAAAGCCTCCGTACTCCTACATCGCTCTCATTGCAATGGCCATCCAGAGTCAACCGGACAAGAAGATCACGTTAAATGGGATATATCAGTTTATTATGGACCGCTTTCCCTTCTACAGGGAAAATAAACAAGGTTGGCAGAACAGCATCCGTCACAATCTGTCGCTGAATGAGTGTTTCGTCAAGATTCCCCGAGATGACAAGAAGCCAGGCAAAGGCAGTTACTGGACACTGGACCCCGACAGTTACAACATGTTCGACAACGGCAGTTACCTGCGACGACGACGACGCTTTAAGAAGAACGGCATGGGGAAAGATAAGGACAACCAAGACAAAAATGGCCGTGAGTCAGACAAGGACAAGATGAAAGATGGCGATTCGGAGGACAACAACGGAGATCTCCATAATTCAAGCAACTCCGACGCTTCGGATGTTCCGGAGAAGATTGTGGAGACTAAGGAACCCATCATCGTGAAGTGTGCGTCTCCGCCAGTGCTAAGTGCTAAGTTAGAACCTATGGACTCGCCCAAGAGCGACTGTTTGTCGGCCAGAACGGCAACTACTAACTCTTTACCCATTCCACCCGACCCGGCAATGACCCTTGATACAACTACCTCCAGTTTCTCTGTCGAGAATCTAATGACGACGTCTCACTCGACGCCAAGCTGCGACAATCTCGGGGTCGCTAGCAACTTCGCTACCAGTCGACCACCCCCTCTCGTGTCCCCCCAAGTACTCCCATACACCCGGTCATCCGACCTGTATCGCAACACGGCCCCGTGTACACAGAACGCTTCGTCATCTCCGTACAACTATCACTGCAACGCTCAGCCGGTGTTTCCAAACCACAGCGCCGGGGCAACAGGACAACATATGTCTATTGCCCCTACCCCTTCGCCAGGTGAGGAGGTGGCAGGGAGTCACTCTCCTCACACCACCCTACCCCAGACAAACGGACTAAACCCAAGTGTGTTTTCTGTGTCTCAGGCGGGGACGTATAACCGCCCAAGTAGCTGGTATATGGCACCTCCGCCCTCGGAAATCAACCACGGAACGGACTTTTCCAGTTCGCCATTCGCCAATGTTCGGGACATGTTTGACTCTCATAGACTTTTGACAGCCCAGGCAGCAGGACAGTCTCAATCCCCATCAAGCTGTCAACTTGCAGCGTTTCGGGCCCCTTACAAAACAAATAGTCCATATGCCTATGACTGTTAACCACAATCGCGGCTACTATTCCAACCAAAGACTCAGACTTTTCTGCAGGTTGACGGGATCTGTCATTTTCACACAGGACTTGTAGGTTCTCACAAAAAAGTGACAGTTGTTTTCACTGAAATCTGTTATAAATATTCTAGGATTTCAAGCAAAAATTGCAAAGATTTTTTTCCTAAACAGATGTGCTCATACGGATTTGCAATTGTGACGAAAAACTTTAAAACATTCTCGTGGACTTTCAGTCACATGTTGTGGACAGGGCGCTAATTAGCCTACCACGGGTCCACTCTCAATTTGTAAATTATTCGTTAGGATGGATGGGCTGTCCTAATAAGGTAGGAACACTTTTGTTGAATCAGTCAGTGCTTTTTTAACGTTGTGTAAACGTTTCCATGTTTTATGTCAAACAATGTTTATTGTGGAAAACAATATGGGCTATTTCAGCTAATTGTACAATGTCATGGAAGAATATAAATATTCGGCTGTCTAGCCTCTAGAGAAACAATGCTTCTGCTTGTTATTTACTTATATTTACTAATATCCAGCGGATTCATGCAATCCGAAATCTGGATATTTGTTTGTTCGTCCAGGTCCGGTGAAAGAGTCACTATTTGTAGTGGAATTGAGTGACCACCGACACAGCCACACGGATACGTTGAGGAGATTACCCGCTACTCAGTAAAATCCAAATGCAAACATGCTCAACGAATTTTGACAGGTTTAATTAGGTAGGAAAACATGTTGAAGATTTCCCTGTCTTGGGGCGTTGGTGATTCTCATTCTTAGGCTCATTCATTCTGCCTTGGATCAAAAGATGTATTAAGTAATTTCATTACAGAGTTATATTTTCAAAACATTGCAATAAATTTGCGGTTATGTAAATTAACAATTCATTCTAAGTTTTAGAATTATTAATATTTTTTATAGTTTGGAGCTATCAATTCCTGGCAGCAAAAAATATTTTACAGATGTTATTTTCATTTATATAGCTTTATGACAATTTTCATCTCTTGTGTGGTATCGCAGATTCTCAAAAAAATTCACAAGACATGTTTGCATTTTTGAAAGGGATGTGCTTGGGTGTGCTACCGAGGTATTCAAACGACGTGATGTGTTCACTTGATCACGCACTCACACTTACAAACTCATACACACATACACACACATGCACACACACAGACAGACAGAAAGGAGAAGCAGCATCGGTTAACATTGTGTAAGCATTCAAATGCCTTCGTAGTTTGTTTTTTTTCAAACACAAACAAACCACCAGATCAAGGCAGAAGAGTGTGGATTCGATACTCTGTCTGTTTTCATAAACACATTGCTTTACTGCTTTTCTCTCAAAATTTAATTCAAAACCTACATAAATAACAAATCAGGAATGAACACCATCAAACCAATTACAAGATTATTTAACGGAAGGCCAAGCATAGCGAATACAACTCGCAGTTCTACACCAATATTCGTCAGACAAAATAAAGCATCTCTGAAATTAACAACGACACAGAACGATCCTAAACCTTCCTGTAATTCGTGGGCAGAGTTGTTCAGGCCAGCTTCTGTTATACGGGACTACTGATTATACATGTCGGCACATTCGACAGTGCAGATAACTTAATTACCGTGGAATTGCGACATGGCTCGTGAACGGGGCATGTTCGTAAAGACACTTTTGATTTCCTCCCTTCTCTCCCCCAATGCTAGTCTCGCAGGGGGGATCTTTCTCTTCTCATTTGTCGGCGTTAATCATTTAGATGAAATGACAGAATCTCAAGCCTTAGCTTGTTTCATTGTTGTCACAGAGGGATGTCATTAGCTTCGTACAAATGCTAATTATTCTGCACGTCTTCTCCACGTGATTGTAAAACACATTCATTTTGTTAATTTCAAAACAATGACTGAATGTCATTCAAATCTGTGGATATTGTCTAGTTAATAGAATAAATGATTGAAAATATCTACCCCTTTCAATATCCGCAATCTTATAATTCCCTG